ACAAGGTCATCACAGATATATTGCATTAGACCTTGCGGAAGAGCTGATATAATTGTAGACGTTTTCCACACATGAAGGCGCACTTCACTGATGCAGGTTACCTGCCTATATTATCCCTACATGCTCATGCTTAGCTGACCTCACATGCCCAGGATACGTACGTACGGACGTACCCTTTGCTATTGCATGCACATGTAAAATTCGCAGGATTTCCAGAGGCCAACATCGCGTGTTTGATCTGGTCCCTCTGACCCTGCGGAACGTTGGCCCCTCGCGCCCTTTGACGTAGTGAAAGATTGCAGGCTCTCGAAGGTTGCCGTGAAGATGCGTTCATAGTTCTCCGAGTCTAACAGGTATTCCGGCTTCGTTCGAATTGTTTCCACGACTCACGTCCTCAAGTATTGGAAGGTCCATCCTTTGGTATATCGGCGATGAACACCAATGCATTATGACGCTCAACGTTACCATGAACACTGAACAGCATAATTACTGGTCGGCTGAACTGTGCCATTACCCATCCGGCTTGTGAGTTGTCACTTCTGTAAAACTTCGCATCCCTGCAAACCCGTGTCAGTTGGAGGAGATGTCCCTGGTATCCAGCGCCTGCCTGGCAGCTGGCGCGGAGCCGCGGTCTGCGGCCTTGTCTGTCTGTCTGTCTGTCTGTCTGTCTGTCTCAGCTGCAGTCCACCCCGGCCACTTCTGGGGCGCGCTCTGGCCACCTGCCTGCCGACCGAGTGACCGGCGCTAATCCGGCCAAACCGGCCTCCGGGGCCGCCCCGCACACCTCGACAGCCGGCCCGCCTCGACCCGGTGCAGCACGGCACTGCACGGGGTGCGCAGCGCTATCCAAGAGTACTACGGGTTGCGGGCTGTAATATGCAGGCTGACGCCAGCAAATCCGCCCTGGCTTTATTATTGTGTGAAACGTTTGTAGTAATAAACACTACCTGTCTTTAAGACTGTCTGCCTTTTGTCGCCGTACTGTTTGCGTTGCCTGTTTATGTGTTTATATGTCTGTATCTGTTTCTCAGTCTGTCCGTGCTCGCTGACTCATCCTTCTACTCTACCAGCCCTATACTCGTATATCCCGTTTGGGTTGGCTCATCAGCAGCCGGCCTCGGCCGTGGTACCGTCGTGCAGAGCAGCGACAGCGGTCGGCCGGCCGGGCCGCACCCCGGCCCCGTCCCCGCTCCAGTGGCCTCCTTTCCTGGCGGCTCGCTGCACGCGCCGCGCACGGGGACTCCCCTGTCCAAAATTCGTGCGCCGGTGTGCGTGAATGTCAAAATGATGGATGGAATGGGCGCAGAGTTGTATTGCGCTTTCACGTGTCTGATGCACTCCAGAACTCCAATTTTGAACTCTGAACCCTGAGCTCTGAACTCTCTTTAAAACCAGTGGCTTCCTGGGACTTGCGCAACACTGGCTGGCAGTTAACCATCCAAAGCTATACAAGCAAAGGTTGTTGCTGGTCAGCTCAGCTCACCAAATCGAATTTTCGAAACGAGGGGTCACCTTGCGGGCTTTCATCTGATATTCTCGCCGGCGACTAAAGCGGTGTTTCTGTCGGCCTGGAACTTCGTGAGATCTGCGTCCTGCGATCAGCAGCATATCTTGTTGGCAACTCTCTGGCTAGTCTGGGTTTAACCCTCGCCAGTTGTCTTTTCACTTTTCTGACCTCCGTCCTTTCGTCCCGCGACCGCAATAAAACATGTCGCTGGCCGCGCGAAGAGATAAGGCACCGATTTCAAACGATTCTGTTAGTGAGAGTAGAAAAGAGAAGATGATAATAGCTTCTGCTGAATTAGATATTTTACATCATAGTCTGCGTGCACTGTCCATCCCCGAGCCCGGAACGGCGCCGGATGTGCCGCAATAGTGATGTAATTGGATCGCAGCCACCTGATTGGATCAGGTGACTGTGATTTTATCTCAAGTAAGCGCATTTGCCCTCAGTCACCTGAACTGGCGCTATTCACAGCCGACGGCAGGGGCTTCGGAGTTATTCTGGCCAGCAATAAGGGTGTTTCCGATAAAAGCTCCGGTTATTTTTACCACAACTGACCAGCGACAATCACCGTCGGTGCTTCCCTGGGAAGGGATCAGCGGACGGTGCGAGTGGGTGGAAGGCGCTCCCGTCCACTCCCCTGCCTCACTCAGGTGGATCGGTAGGCTCGCGGTTCCGGCGATTGGTCTGGGTGACTCCCCTGCAGCTGAGCCCCATCGTCTGCCCCCGGAGGATCATGGTACGAAGGCCACACTGCAGGCTCCCAAGTCCATTTTCTCTGAGAGTTTGTAGGTACAGACCGACTGGTTTGTAGGTGTGGTGTCCTGTGCAGCAGTCCTCTATGGGAGGGTGCTCAGCCGTGACCTGAGACTGCTTGATACCTACTGATATCGAACTGGTCTATATGGAACTGATTACCGATCTGAGGGTGAAGAAGCTGTTGACTTACGAACCTGACACTGGTATCTATGTGACCTAAGAAACTGTGTGGTCCGATTAATTTTTCTTGCAGACAAAAGCGCGTTGAAGGATTACACGAAACACATTTCGCAAGAAGTTTTGCTGTCTCGCGCTGGGAGGACATTCCGGAGTGGCAGATGTCAGTTTTATCTCGTGCTGGACGTTCCGAAGGGACATCTCTTCCCGTTTGGAGAGTCCGTGTCTCGAAAGCGCGTTTCAAGAGGAAAACCCAAACTGCGGCGGCGCCGCCATGGATCTCACAGACAGCCAGATCTGTTAAATCACCTGTCACGACACCACGATAGATCTCAAACGTGTTCCGTCAGAGGCGGCTTGGGCCCAGCGGCCCAGACGGCTTTTGGGGTTTCCAAGTGCGGGCCGCGCGGGGCCGTGCTATCGCTAGGAGCGTGAGGTGTACATACTGAGATCGAGCGCCGCTCCCGGGCCATTACCGCTGAGTTCACCATCCGGTTGATTACATCTGCACTTGAAACGCTCTCATTGCAACTCACGCTTCATGGCTGATATTTATTTTCAGAGACAATGCTAGTCGCATTTGAATACCCCATAGTGTTGCATTTAGGTAAATACAAAAGCTGTGCGTTATAATGTTTCAGCGTGCCAAGTACGCAATCCGTACATGCATAACCTGATTTGGCGTCCCAGAAAGTTATCACAAGTTCGTCGCCTATTCGTTTGCAATGTTTATTTGTCCGCACGGAAGGCGCCTCATGGTTTGATAATATAATGTTATTAATTCATACACCAGGCATTTGCTCTTTATTCCAACGGGTAGTCAAATTGAGACTTCGAAAAACCTACTTCGAAAAAATTGTGACTTCTTAAATGTGTTTTTTCAGAAGCCTCTAAACGTTGAAAGACCTTTGTTCCATCGTTATTGAACAGCTAATCTGCATAGTAGCTTCATTGATCACTGTTAGTCCTGCAGCTTGGAAGTTATAGTACCTACCTTTACCTATATGCTGCAAACTTTCGCATCTTATTCTATTTCATTTATAAAGTAAAATCCAGCTGGGGATGACATTGCGTTTTTCCCTCTGCGCAGTAAGCTGCTTATACGGTTTTTAAAGCCGCTTAGTGTTGTTGAGACACGTGAGAGCCCGCAATCAAGTGCGGGATATTGCGGGTTTTCCTGGCCGCTTACCCAGGTGGGAACACAGATGAAAGTGTTTCACAGCTATAGGCGCTGTTCTCGGGACACCCCGTTCAACTTTTTGGCTTTGACCTGCTCCGGGAGGCAGCCTCGAAATACATGACGGAATAATGTTTGGCAGTGCCATTCACTGTCAGAGTAGGGCAAGGGGCACGAGGATAAACCCGCCCCCTTCCAAAGAGCCCATATCCTAGCCCGCGCATGACGAGGGGGGGGGGGCTCTACAGAGGGCGGATAAACCCACCCCCTCCCGTTTACCTGTGATATCTTCAAAACCGCTGAACGTATCGACACGAAATTTGCAGTATGAATCCTCAGGTACGTATAGGTATCAATGACATATAATTGTGCTAAAAAGAAACTTTCGTAGCTTCCATAGGTCGGGATGGAAATGACGTCAGAGTAAAGTCATGCTCGGCCAATTTTGATGCAAAAACACGGACAGTAACGGCAATTGCCGTTGATAGCCTAATTTTTGACCTACCTATGACTAATGTCTTTGCACATGAGATAACGGAGGATACATGAACTATGAAGGGTCATTAAACTGCTGTCTTAGATTTTCAATCACGAGATTGCGGAGTTGCGACATTATAAAATATAATCGTGCAGAGGCTCACGTATATGTTATGATATCTTAGTTTAGTGATCTGACCTGAAAATCGGTAGGTGTCAGAAGATCTAGCTTGAATCAAAGTTTAGGTGGTAATAGGTATGCCAAATATTCTGCTCTATCGCCAGAGTGCTCTGAGCTATCGCGAAAAATCCCTATGGTGGACCCCCCTCGACCTTTTCGCTTTCATATTATTTTTCGTTTGATAGGTAGGTATATTTGCTAACGCAAACGATTGTAAGGGAGGCGTCGATGTTCAACAAAGCTTGCAGGCTGCAGCTCAAGACGACTGCCTATCCATAAAGTGACGTATAGCATATTACGCTGCATATTATTTTGGATATAACCCGGAACCCAAACCCCTTCCCCACCCCTAATTTCCCAAGTAGACCGACGTAGTTCAAAGTATTGCAAATTCACTGGCCTTTTCACAAAACATCCCACACTTCATTATTTCGAACGATATACGTGGCATGGGGATTTATAAGTGGGGGCAGAAAATGTGTTAGTCACGCAGTGCAGCCCAGAGGTAGGTACTTGTTTCTGCGACACACTGCCAGCAATCAACAAACTTCCCCCAACTTCCCGCGGAGGTCGCCGCGCCGCCGCAGCCTGCCGCGATTCGGCGGACCATACCCTGGGGCGTTCCACCTCTCCAACTCTGTCCGGACGGTGGTTCCGTCCCCGGCCGCCAGCGGCGCTGCGGTCGGCGCGGCAGCGAACCACTACGGTGGCCGGCCGGCGGCCAGCGACAGTCGGCGGGCAGCAGTTGCAGTGTGAGAGGGCTGCTGGACGCGATCTGAGCAGAACAGTGGTGACTAGCGAGTGGATACCATGTCGCACAGAGGTCGGATGGTGGACAGCGGCGAGGGGCCGCTCCCCTCAGCCGTTAGTGACTGCGCCCCAGTGACCCGCGGCACGGCCGCGAGGCCGAGCCGCTTCTTCGCGAGCGCCAAGCAGCAGCCGTCGGATCACAACAAGTCGCTGCTGGACAGCGGTCTCGACTCTGGCTTCCTGTCGCAGGGCTGCCTCTCGGAGGAGGGTCTGTCACAGCGCTCCCTGAGCAGCGGCCCGCTGGAGCCGGCCGCCCCGCGCTGTCCCAAGGAGGCGGCCGCCACCGCCGGCGAGTCGCGGCTCGACAGCGGCCTCGACCTGGCCGACCGGCTGACGGGAGAGCTCAGTCAGTTGGAGCTCGCCGAAAAGTCGGAGCTGAGCGAGAGCGAGCGCGAGCTGTGGCAGGAGCGTTATGTAACCACCCTGCGAGAGGCCTTCCAGGGAGACGACGACGGCGACACGTGAGTCCCACCGGGGGCACTCGGGGTGTCGGGCACTCCGGGGCGGCTGCGGGAAAGGTCACCAAAGTCAGGGATATAAATTTGTTATTTGTAGATAATTTAATGCCAAGTACCGATCTGGTTATAAACATTTCCAGTATGTGTTTACGGATCGGCATCAGCTCGTAGTCTGGCGAATGTTTATCGATTCGAGTCAGAAATGTTAGGTATTTGTAGCTTTCAAACTTACATGACTATCTACATTCTACTTGTTGCTTGTGTGTCGCTTATTGTCTATTTATTATGCTGGTTTTGTTTACCTACTGATAAACCTGGCGTGGTGTACCTACCTAAATCACTAGAAAATATTGAGATAATCGATCTCCAATCATGCTGTTATTCACGAGTTATACTGTTCGTGTAATTCAAAAACTTCGATTATCGCCAGATAACAAATGTAATTTATAGAAGAGCTCGCGCTAGCGTGCAAGTCAATTCAACCGTCGTCTTGACATTCGGAATTCCGACATGCATGATTTATTCACCGCCGTTAGTTCGTGTCCAAGAATTGGTGCCACTCGATACGAGTGCGGGACGGTTATCGATTTGTGTGGGCGTGCCAAGGTCGATTCGTACGCCGCCCGGGGCGCCGATTGCGCTGTGTGTGCCGGGGCCATCTGTGCGTACTGCGGCCGTCGCCCGGCTGTGGTGTGACTGGTGCTGTACATACTGAGAACAGCCGACGGCCGGCGCTCCCCAGCACCTGGCCTCTGAGTGTGCCGCTCCGCGAACGGCGTGGCTCGCCCGCTGTGTGGAACGGCCGAGTGGGCCAGCCCCAGCGCGGCCGGCCGGCGCGCTCCGCAAAAACGCCGTGCGCGGACCGGAAAACCCGCGCACCGTGCCTCACCGCCGCGCCGCTGCCGGTCGGCCCGGGCGCGGCCGGGCGGCCCTGAGCGCCCGCGGCCAGCTGCGCCGGTGGGCAACCCACCGTGCGCCCCGCTGTTTGGCCAAAATTCCTACCCGCTGGCCCACCGTGCGTCGCTGTGGAGCGGGCCGGCACGGCGGCTGCACTTGACGGGCGTTTCGTCAGCGGGCGACGGGGATTTCCGAGCGGCTGGTGGCCGGGTCGGGGTCGTCATGGCCGCCGTCCGGTCGGCCCCGAGGGCCGGCTCATCCGCGGGAAATACGTGACGACCGCGGAATCCGCCGACCGGGGTGCTGAGGCGACCGCTCCCCTGGAAAAGCCCGGCGCGCCGCACTGTGGAGCGAGAACTCTCATCGCTCAGAGTCATCATACCCATACGCGGCTTTATTGATAGACAGTAAACACAGTTACATATCATCAGACGGCCGCCGTTCGCGCGTTACCATGCGATCGGTGGGCGTATGCCATAAACGATATCGGTCGGTCGTGGCCCACGTCGGGCCAGTGTTGATAGGACCGAGTGGACTGGCAGAGCAACGGGAGGGCCGGGCAGAGCAGCGGTGGAAATTCCGACCGCCGTGAAAGTGGTCGCTCGCACGTTGAGAGGCGGCCTGGGAAAACCCAGCGGCGCACGCCGTGCTGGGCCGGTCGGCGGTCACGGCGAGTGACGCGGCACGGCGCCGGGCAGTCCGCAGCCGGAGCTCCGGATCCTGTCGGTCCGTTCAGAGTCGGGTCGGGTCGGTCCTGGCCGGTCGCTCTCCCAGCTCCGGCGCGGCCCGGCTGCAGGTCCGGCTCGGTCCGGTGCAGTCGTGATGTCCCGGCCACAGCCGCCGTCTGCAGGCGGGCCGGTGATCTCACGCCGTGAACATCAGGCGGCTGATGGCTCGTTTAACCCCCGCTGGGCCCCCGTAATGGGTCTGAACCCGCCTGACAACAGGCTGGACGTGACGAGCCGCCCGTCAGCTGACCGGCTCCGAGCCCCAGCTGACCTGTGACCTCTCCTTCCGCAGACATCTTCACCTGGCGATCATCTACGGCCTCCGGAAGGTGGCCATCTGGCTAATACGGCTTGTGCCCCACCCGAGCTTCCTCAACCTGAAGAACAGCTACCAACAGGTGAGTCGAACGAAGAATACTGATAGCTCAGGCCTGTGTACCTACACGTACCACTGGGCAAGACTGATGTCTGGCCTACACGTGTTACTTATCAGGGCGACCCTGAGCCCGATTTGTGCATTATTCATGCCCACCCCAGCTGCTCATCAAGTCATCAGCTGCATCAACAACGACAGAACATCATTAAACTGTAGCGTTTATAATGAGAATCTCCCTTTATCCGGGTGCGCGCTGCGCGCCGGTGAATGGGTCGTTGGTCGCCGGGTCGCCGGCCCCTTCCTACCGATGTTACCTCCGCGGCCGAGCGCGGCGCGGGGAGTTCCCGCCCGAAACCCGGACGGTCCCTGTCCGATTTACCTGACGATAACGCCCGGGCTGGGGACAACGGGCCGCCCTGATCACACAATCTCGAGTACATAAACCCGGCCACATAATCTGGCTACTCATCCTGAATCGAAAACACGGTGGGCGCTGAACAGTGAGCACCCACTCAGGAGGGATCGAACAGGGAGGTTCCACAGACCTTGAGCTGTCGAATATTGCGATTACAGCTTGCTTACTTACCGATACAAGTCTGCCTATCGACATGGGCGTCTGGGGATTCCCCGGCGTCGTGCCTGATAGCGAGTGGGATCACGCGGTGACCTGACCTCTGACCTGACCTGACCTGTCCGCAGACGCCGCTCCACCTGGCGGCACTGACCGGTGACTCGGAGCTGGTGCGACACCTGCTGGTGGCCGGTGCTGACCCGACTCTGCGCGACCGGCACGGCAACACGCCTCTTCATGTGGCCTGCGAGCGCGGCGACCGCGGCTGCGTGCTCAACCTGACCGAGCCGGTGACGGCCAACGAGATGCGCCAGGCGGCGTGCCGCTACACCTGCCAGCCGAGGCCGCTGGCCTGCGCTCAGCTCGACGAATGGAACTACCAAGGTGGGTGGGCCGAACGGGGCAGTCGGGGAGGATTGGGAGTTAGCTACTGCACTGGGTGGAATGTTTGAATAGTTGGGATCGGTGCACAACGTAAAGCGACGGTAGGCAGTGGTACCGACCCCACACACTGCAGCTGCAGCTGGTGGAACGTGAAACATCCATTAACAATAGAGGCGTTACAGGGGGCTCATAAATTCCCCGCTGTGTTAGCAGTGCTACTCGGCGGAAGTGAAGGGCGGCCGTGCCGAAAATAGAGCCGCTCTGTACAGACCGACTGGTGCCGGTGGCTCGGCGGTCCGTGGGGCGGCCGGCGGGGGCGGTCGGTCGCAGTATCGAGCGCCCGCGGCTGTGTTAAAGGGACTTAGCCGATTCCTGGTACGGCATGTTGACGAGTAGGCGGCTGCCGACACGGTGTCTGGTGTGCTAGCGGTCGATACCGACCGCCCGGGCGGTAACCGGCGGTCGCCGGGTCCGCCCCGGTGCGATCCAGACGACACCGGCCTCGTCTGCGCCCCGACCGACCGGCGACACCCACCAGAATACCCAATGGTCGAACACGACGACCCGCGAGAGGCTCATCCGGACTCATCCAGTCCAGTACGCGGCCGTCTGTGGTTTCCGTGAGGCGGTGAGCGACTCTGTCTGGCTGGAACGGGACTGAATAGCCCGCTGCCTTTGTGCGGCCTACGGGACGCTGTGCGCCGGGTCTCTGCTGTGATGCGGCTCCACTATTGATCGGTCTGCTCCGCGGCCGGCGGCAGAGGGAGTTCCCCGGCCTCGCCGTCGCCGCCGGCCGACCAGCGGAGCGTGATGCCAGCCGGGACGGCCGTCACGAGGCCGGCCACGCTACCGGCTCTCGCCGGATTGCGCGAGCGGCCACGCGTGCCTTCAGAGAGAGCGGCGGAGAACAGCCCGGCCTGGGGCTTCCCCTCCGCGGCCGTGGCGGCTGCACAGCCGGCAGAGGGAGGAGGATTGAGGAGAGAGGATGGGCCGCCGCCGCACTTCGCGCCGTGCGCAGTTCGCCGCGGCGGAACTGCTCTTTGTTGGGCCGCGCAGTGACGCGGCAGCGCGGTGGCGGACGGGGTGGCCGGCCTCGCTGGGAAGTCCGCGCGGTCCGCGCCGCGTGGGCTACCCTCTCGCGCGGCTGGCACGCGCCTGGGCCCGCCGCATGACCTTATTTGGTAGTCGGCGCGCGCGCAGCGTCGGCGGCGGCGCGTATTTTTGAACTGGTTTTCCCAGTCGTCGGTTGCCAGCTGCGCTAAATCGGAGCGGCCGGCCGGCGGGCGTGCCCGAAATACGCGGCCGGCCCACCGACGGCGGCGGCTGAATCAGTCTGCACGCGCGCCCAGTCACCAGCTCCGGCGGTCAGGGCCGGCCGGCCTCCTCAGTTAGTCAGTCACGTTCTGTCCCAGGCGGTCGCCGCCGTGCGTCATTGTGGTTCTCAGAGGGACTAGGTCGGTGTCGGCGGGACCGACCCGACCCCACCGTTTGACGACACACAAAGCCGCGGCGGAAGCCTGTGGCGCTGCCTGAGGTCAGGGGTCGCCCCTGGCCTGTCGTGTGGCCGTGATAAGGTCATCGGACAGCGGTCGGTAGTTCCCCCAACGTCAGCTCCGAGCCGAAAACTGAACCGTGACGGGCCGGAATCCGCCGGTTCTGACCAATTTTGTTCCTGTATACCATTGCATGTTATGGCGTAGCAGCGTGTCGGGCGGACCCTAATCTGACCATTGCACTGCCGCGGGCCCCCTGGAATGTGCTTAAATCATATCCCCTCCACGGCAGTCTGGTTCGTGCGCGTACGCTGGGCGTCTTCGGGACAGCTCCGGAAGCGTGTTGGACGATGGTCACGCTACGAACGCCAGCGCCCGGCACGTTCGGCTATCACGGCATGTCCTCACTGTCAGTGAAAACCTATCACGAGTCGGTCTCGGCCAGGGATTTCCTTCAACACGTAAAAACGAGCCTGTCGGGCGGCAGCGGTGGCGGCGGCGGCCGGGTGACCACCTGCCCCGGCCGGTGCAGCTGCACCCTTCCCCCTCCCCTCGCCCGGAAAACGGCCAGGGGGCGGGCCCGAGACGGGCCGTGGAGACAGGCTGTCGTGCTCCGGCCGGGATTTCCAGCTGGCTGAGGAATGTGGCGACTGGGAGCCAGCGCCCGTTCTCCACTCGTGACTGGCGCTGGCAGCGAACCCGGCGGGGACAGCCAGGGGCTGGTCAGGCCGCCTGACCCGCGGCCAAGGCCTGACCCGCCGCCAGAGGCCTGACCCGCCGCCAGAGGCCCGATCTGCCTCCGCCGGACAGGACAGGACCGGTCGGTCCGGCTTATGATACCGGCTCGGGAACCTAGATCGGTGGGGCGCTGCTCGGCCGCCGGACAGCGGCGTGTGACACCGCATAAATCCGTAATATTGGCCGGTGCTGAGGACGCGACAGAGACCCGGGCCCGTATCGCTTCTCGATATGTGAGCCGTGGCCTGGCCTCGAATGGGCGGTGAACTCCGACAGTATTCGCAGCCAATCAACCGTCATGAACGATAGACAGACACGCGATTAACACTACACGAATGTAGAGAAACCGCGACTAGTTCTAACCGATGAAATATCACCCTGCTTGCAGCGCGCTCTAACTCCGTTTTTCGTTTGTTGCAGGTCTGAGCTGCCTCCACCTCGCCGTTGCTTCCCGTGACCGTGAAATCACGGCGCACCTCATCATTCACGGATGCAACGTGAACATCACGGTAAGCACTGAAACCCGTGCGACGTTCACTCGCCGCGTAGCGTAGCCGGGTTGTTTGTTTGGGGACGGCATGCATCTCGACGATGGCGGAGGGGGCACAGAGTCCTAAATGATCCCTCGGCCCACTGCGCATCTAGCTGCATCGTTTGCAGTATGGGGACCTAAATCGGCCTCTGGCACTCTAGGTCGACATTCTAAACCCCGATGACCGTACCCCTCGCCCTCGCCCCATCTGACCACCATTTTTCTCCGCCTACAGGAGGGTAAGAGCGGCCGCACCCCGCTCGTCCTCGCCATTGAAATGGGCGACATCGAGATGCTGCGCTTCCTGGTCGAGGCGGGCAAGGCCGAGGTGAACATCCCCACGTACGGCGGTCTCAGCGGCTACCAGCTGGCGCTGCTCAACGGCAGGAGAGACGTGGCCGAGCTGCTGCTCCACCTGGGCGCGCAAGTGTCGCCACTGCCTGACTCCGAGATGGACCTCTCATCGTCCGACTCAGAGTCTGAGGTAAGAATTAGAGTCGCTCGGCGGGAAAAGTTGATAGAGCCATGTCGCAAGGTGTTGATTAGGGACGTGCGTACGGGGAATGGCCGTCGCGGTAATGAGGTGTGGAGATTTTTATTGTTCTTTGAAGGAAGAGGGTGCGGGTAGATGGTGGGTCGCGACGGGGACTCCGGACTCAGACTCGAGTCGTCTCTGGGAGTCCCGGGGCGTGCGGGCCAGTCCCGTCGCCCCGCCGCGCTCCTCATTAGTCGCCTTTTTGTCGCTGCCGCTCGCGGCTCTCAGGGACGGGCTGTCTGAGTCGGGGAACCCCGCCTAATAAGCACCGCCGGCGACGGTCCGGCGGGCGCCGTTATTGGAGTGGCTGCGTCGGTCGGCCTGTAGCGGCGGCGGCGGGGAACTGTCCCAACTCGCCGACTGGCGTCACGCGCTACCTCTGAATCGAGTCGTCACGAGCGTCACAGTCCCATCGTTTGGCTATAAATAGCTGAGTGACTGTGGCCGTGACGCCTCGGTGCGGTGAAGTGGCAAACCGCCGCCCGAACCGGCCGGCTTTCTGGATCAATCGCTCACGGGTATGGGTGGCCACCTGGCGGGTGGATTAGGAAGCTTTGCCGCTTATTGCTACAGCTAGGGGCGCTCGTTTTGTTACCTGGCCTAGTGTGAAATTTTGGAATGGTTTAGCGTGTATTCAACACAATAGTGGCAGGTTTTTGGTGTGACCGTGTCTGACGTCTTATTTCTCTGTTGTTACAGAGCCTGATGAAGGGCGACGATGTCTACAGCGAGCTGCGACTACGTGGCCAGCCCCTGGTGGCAGCCCAATGAACTAGTGGATCGTTCTGAAACCGGGGGGTCGGGGACGCGACGGGGTCAATTCGGGAGGGACGGGGAGGGTATGTCGTTTGGGCGCCACCAGTCGATTTTGACTGGTGTATTTAAAGAAGACTAGAATGTGCGCTGGCGCTGGACCGCATTGTTGAACGATATTGTCATTGTCTCATTGTAAATAGTCATCATCACTTGTAAATAATTCATGTTTGATGTCAAACTTGTAGTGGGCTCTGTTACTTGTGGACATGTCCCATGTTAATACATGTTGTATGTTATTGGCTGTTTCTTGGAGGCCGAACTGAGGAATCACACCACCACATAAATCTTGGGCCAGAAACATGCCGAAAACTAGTGAATCAGGACTCATGAGCGTGGTAGATTGGTGCTTCTAGTAGAAGCCAAAACATTCACGATGCCGATGGTCACATCCTATTTCTATTTATCAACTGCGTGGGTAGGTACTAGGTAGGTATCTTCCCACTTACAATGCACATCACGGTATAAATTGGCAAGACTCAAAATGAGGGAAAATCTGCCAACCAATTGACGTGTAAACCGTTTCTTTGGTGGCCAATAAATATTGCAATCTATCATAAGTCTAGAGCCCTGCACACACCCAGGCATACCAACGCAGACTCGAATTCACTGCTCTTCGACACGTCCTGTCCCTTGGCCAGCAGACCACGCGGTGGCTAGCGGAGCTCGGCCGGCGCCGGGTCAGTCGGAGGCCGAGTCCGGTGGCCGCGACGGGTTCTGGGTCTCCTGGAACAGTTCATACAGCTGCACCAGCTGCTCGGGCCGCAGATGGTCCAGCTGCTCCTCGGAGATGTGCGTGCCGATCGGCCGCGCCCCCTTCACACCGCGCACGCCCAGCTGGCGCGCCAGGTTGAGCGCGTAGCCGGCCCACTCCTGGAGGAACAGACCGGCCTCGCGCGCAGGCGCGTCCCGATGTCGCCGAAACTCATCGCGCACGTATTGGTCGCCAAGGGCCTTCAGTTCGGCGGGCAGACCGCGGTGCAGTCGCAGCACTGATTTGTACAACATGCGCACCGACTGCACGTGGGTCAGCGTCTGGGGCACCCCCATGATGTGGCCAGCACCGACCACTGCGGCAGGACCCTGCAAATTATACAATTTAAACCTCAGCAATCAGCATCTCAGTGACAATGTAGGTCGTTAACACAAATTGAAATCATACAAAGTTGAAGGTTCAATGTTGAGATGCAAGATATTTAGGTCAATTGAGGTTATGGGAAAACATGATCAAGTGTAAGTTGATAGGAAGGTACCTATCCCCTTGTCTATTCCTAAATGTATAAATGTGATTATGGTGATGAAGATCATCAAGTATGAGATGGCCATAGTAATACAACTTTCTTGCAGTGGTGTAAAAATCACCGAACTCTAAGCATAGGTACTAGGTAGGTATTGCATTTGATGAGGGCCCCAGCAAAATACAAGGAAATAGCAAACATGCACAAATCAAACATTACATGATACATGTAATGTATGATGTATACATGTATGATGCAATGCTATTGCAATCCAACAAAACTCAATCCTCACGCATGCATAACTTTGATAATTAGCAACAAATCAAAATCAATCAGCCTCAATCTTGATGTAATGAACAAACACTTGCCTTGAAATTTGAATCACTGGCTACGTTTCCATGGCACAAGTTAAGCCGATTTTGAAAAATAAATTTGTTCCATCATAGCAATTTTTTTTTATAAATTTAGCTTGAATGTTTGAATGGACGGATTGACAGAGCCGGAGTCCACGCTAAGCAGAGCTTGTTGCGTAGACCCCGACCCCTACCGTCCGATCGCGCAATTCCGGGTAACGGGAGAATTTAGATGCCAAAGTTTAACGTGCCCTTCAAAGCCGGACACGGCCTGTCCCACTCAACTGACTTCAACTGGCTGCGGCTGCTCCCACCAACCGCAGACCATCCCCGTCAGGAGTCTCATATATCGAGCGCCGGAGCGTCTCGAACCCGGGCTCTCACTACCGGGAGTCCGATGCTCTACCAACTGAGCTACGGGACAGGCAAAATGTAAAAATGTAAATATAGGATTAGGTGCTAGCTAAAAGTTAAAACCATATATACGCTCATTTTTTGCATAAGGTACCTACCTAAATAGTTTCCGAGTAAAACGCACGTGAAATTTCGCTAAATCGATTTGAGTGTGTCATGGAAACGTAGTGACTGAGCTTTGCAACAATGGAATTAATTTGTACGCGACAAGGCCTTACCTTGGCCTCATTCACGGCCCAAAATCACAATAGACCCAAATCCACCCTCTTCTCAATAGCCACAGTGCTAATTCGACATCTGTGGATTTATGTTCTTTTATCAGTATTCGGAGGCACTTATGTAATCAATGACCAACGAAAGCATAGAAAGAGCCTTCTGCAATCAGCAGCAGCATGTTTTAGCGTTCTAAGATGCTAGAAATGAACACAAAGTTATGAAAGAAGAGCGCAATAACCGCATTTATCTGTGCTTCCAGTAAAGACTACCAGATGAAGGAAAGTTGGCCTTCACCTAAAGAAACCTTCACCAGATGAAGTTGACATTTTACCGGACGCCACTTCATTTCAGTATAGGTAAATACGGAATCTTGGGTAAATAGGCATGATCAAAGGTAAGACCAACTTGTCCAAATCACGTCCAAATGTTGTATCCAGCCCAGTGCTAATCGTCACCCACCCCATACACCAGTGGTCGGCAGGTCACTCGGGGTTGTGCCCCCTTTTTAGGCGCCAGGCAGGGCCATTACCCCCACCTACCAGACCCCATTGCTGTCACAACCAAGTTTACTGAAATTCCATACCTTTCTGGAACTCTTTGGGTATTTCTGCATTTCCAATGCATCAAATTTAAAACATGACACTTCCTCTACAAAGCATTTAGTATATCCCATTTAACCCTCGTACATATAGAGGCGGCGGGTGGTTTTTCGTTAAACGCTCACGTAAAAGCCGTTGGATCACGACCAAATTGTACCCCCGGCCAATCATTTACCCGGGAATTCCTGAGGCCAGTTTTACCAACAGAAAAATAGCCGCCTGCCGGAGTTTTTGCCTAAAAACCGCTTCACATACGTAAGCGCGATGAGCATGTAAGTGGATAGGGTTTTACCGTTTACGTTTACGTTTACGTAATCATTGGCTTCGGAGCGTAAGCGCGATGAGCATGTAAGTGGATAGGGCTTTACCGTTTACGCTCCGTATGTGAAGCGGTCTTAACCCGGCACCGCCTGGGCTATTTCCGTACCCACGACAGCCTGGGGGGGGGGGGGGGGGGGTCGGATCCGACCCCCCCCCTGTTATCTCGAGAACCAATGGTCGTATCGAGCCCCGCGAGGCGGCGTTCGAAAGGTCTCTACGAGGCCTTCCCAAAGCACTCTTAAGATTTTAAGATTGAGGTCAAATTTCGGGTCAAGGTCAGGTCAAAGGTCAAATTCAGGGGTTTTGCATGAATCGGCTTACGGACAGCGGAATCGATAGCTGCTGCTCGAAACTCACCAAAAATGACCTCAAAGGCCTAGTGAAGGTACCATGTGCGTAAAGGGGTCATACTAGGTACAGGTCAAGGTCAGGTCAGGTCACGAAAGGTCACGGTTTTCACTTTCTGCTACATGGGCGTGCGGCACATGTTTTATGGCTTATTTTTCACGCCGAATCCGATGGTAATGGTTATATGTGACCCCAAGTCACTGTGCTGGTGATAAGTGTGCATTGAAAGCATAAAAAATCGTTTATACTATACATAACTAAACTAAAGCTAAGAAAAAAGGTCAATTTTTCAACTTTTTAATTTTGACATAAAAATGCACTTTTCTAGACGAGCTTTGTCCCAGGAATCTAGTGGTGCCATTTGTTTTCACATGCGATGTTCAGAAGTGCCTCTAATTCACGAAAATGCTTATGACGTCACCATGCCCTATGCATGTTGGAGCTATTTTTTTTTACAATTTGGGGGTCAAAAATCAAGATAGAAAGTTGAAATTTGGGGGATCTAATGTTCTAATAGAGCTCTACAACATATATTCCGGTTTTTTGGAAATTCCAAAAATTTTGGATTTTATTAGCTGTTTTCTAAAAAATATAGTTTTTTGAATTTTTAGGGGTAAAAAAACGCATTTTATGGAAAATCCGAGATAGCCATTTTAAAGAACTCGTTGAGCTGCGTCTTTTGATGTCCTTAATTTACAATTTGCTTCAAACCCTGATTTTTGGCGATTTTTTAAACATTTACCACTTTTTGACTAAAAACGCCATGTAGTTACATCACTAAAATCGATATATCTAAAAAAAAAAATTGGAATTTTTTTCTTAAAAATCGCACAGGAGACGTCAAATTGATGGGGGAGAAGGTATGCCAAGTTTCAAGTAGATAGCGAAAGTGGTTCATGAGTTATTCAAGAAAAACGGAGGGGGGGGGGTCGGATCCGACCCCCCCCCCCAGGCGGTCGCGGGTTAAGGCGAAAAATTCCGGCAGGCAGCTATTTTTCTGTCGGTTAAACTGGCCTCTGGACCCATAATGATCATTGGCTTATGAGCTTTTTCTGGAGGTCATCTTGAGCCATAAAATCTCACTTCAAGAAGTTATAGCGGGTCCCGATTTTCTCGACACTCGTCTTTGACCTCCGGAATGAGACGAAATGACCAAGGACCTTAAAAATGGGCAGCAGCGGCTTCCTATAGTCACGGGTAATACGCTCGTTTTTTTATGCACAGCTCCATCTCAGAGTCCGAGAGGCCGCGGGGGTCCGATCGACTCCTCCCCCTTACGTTAGCGGCTGTTGAAACGCCAACAGACGGGCGACGGTTAAAAATTGCAGCTGCTTTTGTACGACTGTACGGAACCGCGGTGGGATGGTGAGGCGAGCAGCTACGTGAAAATTGGTATCTTATCAATGTGTGCTGTGCCTTTGACCTGGGCTAATCTTTGAACCCTGGGATGCAACAGTCACGATGGTTCCATCAATGGAGCCCCTAACTCTAAAAAGATAGGTTTTCTCAGAATCCCTCATTACCCCCACCGAAAGGGTTCCATTACCCCCAAAGGGGGCATGCCCCACCATTTGCCGACCCCTGCCATACACCGTCACCAGCCCACCACATATCTTCTCCTCCCTCCCTCTGCCCTCCCCATAAGTATCCCAGCTCAGCGGTCAGATGCATCGGCTGCCGAGTGCCGAGTCTGATCGCGTAGCAGCACTCGCAGCGCTCATGCTGCCGCGGTCCCGCCCACGGTGGTCCCGCCAAGAGTACCTATACATATGTCCAGCCGTCCAGCCGGTTTATAGCCTTGGTCCAGCTCCAGCCCCAAGATACCTATAAGAAACTCCGGGCCCGTCCCGGGGTGGGACTAAATGCTTTTTTTTATAAATTTAGCTCGAATGTTTGAATGGACGGATTGACAGAGCCGGCGCCCACGCTAAGCAGAGCTTGTTGCGTAGGCCCCGACCCCTACCGTCCGATCGCGCAATTCCGGGTAACGGGAGAATTTAGATGCCAAAGTTTAACGTGCCCTTCAAAGCCGGACACGGCCTGTCCCACTCAACTGACTTCAACTGGCTGCGGCTGCTCCCACCAACCGCAGACCATCCCCGTCAGGAGTCTCAAATGTCGAGCGCCGGAGCGTCTCGAACCCGGGCTCTCACTACCGGGAGTCCAATGCTCTACCAACTGAGCTACGGGACAGGCAAAATGCTTACTAACTACTAAATGCTTACTTCGAAATCTAACCTGCGTTGCGGCATTGGCGGTTATGTGCGGCGTGTATGCCGCATGATTAGTAAGCGGCGACCACTAAATTAAAGACTCAAACGCTCCGACCAGTTCTCAATGAATAACACTGCATACCAAAAATGTCAACCGCTCTCGTCATAAGATATTTAGCTAATATCTACATCATCATTTTGAACCAAATTAATACTTTCAACTTAACTCACTCATTCCTTCCTTTGTTGGCTCCAAACAGTCTTTCGATTGTCTGGAAATCGTATGCTAAATCCCGTACCTGTATGCGACTGGTGCATATAAAGGCCGATAAAAGAATTTGAATAGGCTCTGGCATGCGATTTCCTGGCTACCCAAAAAAGTCTGTTTCAGTCTTGCTATCAAAACATGACCTCGCCCGCACAGGGGGGGGGGGGGTTGATGCAACCCCCCTACGGTTTTTCGCAAATAACTCGCTTAAAAAGCGGCTGATCGCGACGAAACTTTCAGTACCCTCGCATTGATCAATTTAACACCCACTCTGAAAATTTCATGACCCTGACCCAAATGACCTTTGACCTGTGACCTACTTTTCGAGACCATGTTTGGCCGGAACCGCGATTCAGCGTATGTCGGCTCGCATTAGCAGCGCGTTTGCAGTCTTTTCGTGGTTTCAAGCGTTCAAACATGTGATATGATGTTGCCCCCATGCATTAGGGTGGGTGTCAAGGTCACCTGAAGGTCAGGTCAGGTCATTGACCTTTGGTGACCTCGGTTCACTTTTTCGAGTTTGACATGTTTCTAGGCCAGCTTTTTCGAGCTGAATTCGAATTAAGCAACCACATGAACGTTTACAAAGTAGTTTTGGTGCCTTCGTAACATGTTACGAGGCTGTCAGAGGCGGTTGACACCTACTACAAATACCTGGCAGGACCTCTACTGGTTGACCTGACCTGACCTAACCCGACCTGGCCTAAATGAATGAAGACATCATCTGTGATCAAAACTAGCATGATATTCGTGATCAGCACCCCGAAAAACCCCAAAGCAGCCACACTACGACGTTCTAACAGGTCCCAATTTTCCCGCCTTTTGGGTCATTGACCTGACCTGGAAGGTCAACCGATGACCTAGGACCTTAAAATTGGGTATCATCGGCTTTCTCTCGTCACGGGCAACACGCCCGTTTTTTCCGCGAAGCTCTAGCTTGATCAGGAGCGAAACGGCAAGGGCTTATACCTTATACGTTCGCGGCTGAGTATTAATTTGGTTCAAAACAATGATGTAGATAAGTTAGTTATTTAAATCTAAATATCCTATGACGAGAGCGATGGACATTTTTGGTATGCAGTGTTATCCATTGAAAACAGGTCAAAGCTATTGAGTTTTTAATTTAGTGGTCGCCGCTTACTAATCATGCGGCATACACGCCGCACATAACCGCCAATGCCGCAACGCAGCTAAGATTTCGAAGTAAGCATTTAGTCCAGGGGTCGGCAAATGGTGGGGCATGCCCCCTTTGGGGGTAATGGAACCCTTTCGGTGGGGGTAATGAGGGATTCTGAGAAAACCTATCTTTTTAGAGTTAGGGGCTCCATTGATGGAACCATCGTGACTGTTGCATCCCAGGGTTCAAAGATTAGCCCAGGTCAAAGGCACAGCACACATTGATAAGATACCAATTTTCACGTAGCTGCTCGCCTCACCATCCCACCGCGGTTCCGTACAGTCGTACAAAAGCA